TGCAAATCCTTTTCAGTGCGGCAACGTTTTTATGTCTGTAAAGGATATAACGTGGCTTTTGAATTCAGTTAGGTCTTTATGACGACCTTCATCAAGTGGCTCACAAACGTTTCCCTTCTGTAGTCTCTCGTTGCTTACACAACTGTCTTCTCGAGCGGTATAAAATGACACCAAACTCTAACGGGTGTTATCTTTTCAGCCCTTTTGGACGAAATTCGTTCAGACCTTTTATACGATAGCCGAATTCGGATATGGTGTGTCATATTCTCTTGGTCTGATGCACTGCCAAAAATGATCGGTCGACAAAATGGACAAAAATAGCACTGAAGCTCATAGTTCTTGTGCAAAGTTTAACTATTTTCAATAGACTTCTTCGTATAATTTGTATCACAATTGTTTGGACCTACAGTACCATAAGATCCACGAAGATCAAAGACATCAGAGGTCAAGAAAAGGACAAAAAAGACCAGAAAATGGTGTCACGTCTGCCACGATTTGATGATCCTTTTTAAGACTCTTTTTACTATTTACTTTGAATGAATGCTATCCTTCTAGTTCAAAGAACGTTCACTTATCACAGAAATCTAACACGTGCTTGTAAAATAGCAAATCATGCATCACGTTATGATGTCCTGTCTCGCGTCACGCGGCTAATTTGGTCTCAATCACGCATCACGCTGCTAATTTTGAGGCGATCACACGTCACGCAAAAACCTTTTGCCACCCTCTTTTTATTTACCTAAAATACTAGCACGCGATATACCGGCTACAAAAACAAGTTGTATAACAACTGATACACTACACCCTTCACTTCAAATTAACTAACAAATAGTACTATGCAGGAGGGTGCGTGACAAAAATCCTCGTTTTAAAATCTTATTGTTACCATGGTTATGTGAAGAAGATTATTCTAAGTAGTCTGGGGCGTATACAGGATTTTAGAGAATGGGTTTGAGATACAGACTGCCGAAGGTAGTCCCTTTTAGGGGGTCCGGGGGCATCCTCCCCTGGAAAGCTTTTAAAATTAAGGTCCTCGGAAATGGGATTTCCGGCAGTCTGAGGCCAAGTCAAGGTGTTATACTGTCTCAATTTTTATTTAAGGGGGTTTGACTGACCCCCCCTCCCCCGAACTCCCTAGATCCACCCTAGGTAGTATGGTAAAAGAAGATATCTATATTTTTTAAATAATATGCACGGGAAATGGGAATCACACAGCGCTTTGCAGTTGATGTGTAGAGAATAACGCTTGTAATGGCATAGGCTTATACTTTTTAAATCTCAGCTATTTCAGCTGTAGCAATCAGTGGTTGCTAGAAAATTCATTTGACTTGCAACTTTCTTCATCAGTGTGAGTCACAAGGAGCTCAGTTCTACTTCATGGCTTCCCAATTCTTTATCTTAAGAAAAATGTTTCATCTCATGTTGTAGAGGGTATTCGAAATCTCTCTGTATAAAAAGCAACTGATCATTCCATTCCAATTCACTTAATCCCCATCGTCCATAAGATTGTGGTGTCGGTATCTATTGTTACCACGTCACTTCCATCATAGGTATTGGAAGTGCTGACCAAGGTACCAAATTCTAACTGCCCATCAGCTGAATAAATGAACAAACAAACAAATAAATCAATAAAGAGTATACAACCTACCCGAACCTAAAACAGTTAATTTTCAGGACTAAGGGCTTGTTCTTGAAAAGGCAGCTTTGTAAATTCACTAGTAGTTAACTTCAAGTTGATACATAGCTATAAAGTGTTTTACTTGTTTTCAACACAGCACTAATTAAAAGTTTCTAAGTTAGGAACTAAAATTGCTTTGTTTAATTAAGAGGCCCTTTGCAATATATCTTAACTACATAAATTTCAGGACAGGAAAACTGCCTGCCTGCATGCCCGCTATCAATATAGGACACCATTTAAAACCTGTGAACTAAGAGGTTTGAGAGGTATTGTCATCTGGCTTGAATACCAACAACTTGAGACAACTGGAAAAATGGAGATCTACTCCCACACGAAAGAGATTATCAAAACAAGTGAAGGTGACTTACTTAAATTCCACTTGAGGCCAGTTGTAGTAATATTTGTACATTTGGCACCAATCGGTATGAGCCCACACCAGTCTGCTTCTAAGCCAGTGTTCACTTGAATGACATGCTTTCCCTAAAACACACAGAAAGATCCTTATAAGCTTGTTACTACATGCTCCTGGCAAATCATTGGAGTTGCTTGATTTTGGAAGTTGACATCAATTTAAGTGCATTAGGCTATAAGCCACTGAATGGTCAATCTGGGTTTGGTTAGGTTTCAGTATTCTACAATATCAAATAGCATCATTAAGATGTGTAATGATTAACTGCAGTACTGTTGATAAAATTAATTTTATTAGCAGTCTCAGTGTATTAAACTAGCACAAGAAAATGAAGGAATATAGATACTACAAATTCGGGATCATAGGCATGTAATGCATGCAAATTCTGGTGCAAGGGGTACAAACTGGCTGAAAGAACAGCTGGATGCAATTCTGTTTGGTAAATGGACTATATAATAACAGTAGTGTTTGTAAACAGCATAACATGCTTGAACACTGCAAAGTGCAAATTGATGGCACAAAAAAGCCCATTTTGTCCACAGAGATCAACAAGGTAGGAAATAGATCTAACAATTGAATCATACCGGTGTTAGGAGACAAGCGAGTGAGTCCTCAGACATCAAATAGACTGGTTTCTTGGTCACCTTTGCTACATGGAACAATGTTTCGATGTTTGCCATTGTCTGGTCAAGACGCTTACCAAATGCATTTATAGCAACTATCTGATCAAACTAAAGAAACAAGTAACAACAGTATTTATCATAAATGGGTCACATGAAAATCCTGCACCTCAGATAACCAACTATAACAACAAAAACATAAATGTTAAGATTTATAAATACATATACATATGATTATAACCGTGGAGGCATGGTGGCCTCATGGTTAGTGCACTGAAATCTGGATTGAGCAGTCCAAGTTTGAGCCCTGGCCCAAACATTGTGTTGTGCTCTTCATCAACACATTTAACTCTCACAGTGCCTCTCTCCACCCTGGTGTATAAATGGGTACCAGCGAATTTAATGCTGGGGGTAACCCTGTGATGGACTAGCATCCCATCTAGGGGGGAGTAGAAATATTCCTAGTCGTTTCATGTTACACTAAAACCACGATAAGCTCTGGATTAATGTGCCACTTGGCTTGTATGCAGACTTTCCCTTACCTTTTACCTTGTATGAAGGATTTCCCTTAGGAACACTTTTTGATCTCTGATGAGCTGTAGCTATGTCAATATGATTAGAAATGCGGGTGGTCCTAACAAGATTTCAGTTCATGGACCCAAATCAAGAAGTTTGTTCAATATCACTGTGAATTGTAAATATTATTACACTGTCAATTCAATTATTATTACACTGTCAGCGTAACAATTTAGGGCTGTGCGGTGACCATACTTTTCTGATCTTTGACATACTTACAAACCTTATCAATGTGCTGCTTGCTTGTTATAATTCTGAGGCACTTGGTGAAATCTGTGTTATCTTGATCAGGGGTTGGAATGACTTCAACACCCTGGAGAAAATGCAGGAAGGGTTGCAAAAGACAAGGTTATCAATGTGAATATGACTAAACTATTTTTGTCACAGCTCAAAAAATTCACACACTCAACAACCAAGCATATTGTATGACAAACTGAGCAGACAGGAAATAAATGTTATTAATTTGTTTGTAATAAGCTAGGAATGTTCTCCCAAGGATAAATAATTATTATAATATATAAAAGAGCATTGAACTCAACTTCACTGATGTAGTTCAAAGGTATATAACACTGTTCATGTTTGATTGATTGATTGATTGATTTCATATTGATAGACTGATTGATTGGTTGCTTGCTTGGTTTGCTTGATTGCTAGACTTACTTTATTGATGAACTGACTCATTGTTTGATTGATTGACTGACTGACTGGCTGACTGACTGACTGACTGACTGACTGACTGGCTGGCTGACTGACTGACTGACTGACTGACTGATTGGTTGGTTGGTTCAGTGGTTGGTTGCAAAAAGAACTATTGCTGGCTTGCTTGCATGCTTGCTTGATTGATTGATTGACTAACTGACTGACTGGTTGATTGATTGATTAATTGATTGATGGACGGATTGGTAAGTTGATTGTTTTATTTTGACTGATTGATTGAGCATTCACTGTCATATCCTATACCTTTTCCTTGTAAAAGTTCAAAAGATCAGGATCAACTGAATCAAAGTCTCCACTGACAAAGTCTGGAAGATACCTGTACATGACAAAACAAAGAGCTGAGAGTTTGCAAGGCAAAAAGATAGGTTTTTCTGTCCTTTTAGAGCATAATGATATGGCTAAAGCTGGTGCTAACATCCAGGGTAAATAGCATAAAGCAACTAAGAGCAGCTAGTGCTGCTCTTCTATTCATTGGCCTAAACCACAGTTTATCTGGAAGCCTTAATGAAGGGCATGTATGCAAACAGTTCATAATCAGTGGCAGATCTTTATTTTGAGTAAAAAAAGAAAAAATCACAGAAGGAAGAAAAGCCAGCAGGGCAAGCAAAACACCCCCTCCCTCTCCCCCCACCTCTCAGCTCAAGATCTGGATCCGCCACTGATAATAGGTCTTCCCTTTAATGGTTCCATTAATGAAACTGATCACTTAAAGAAACAATCCTTCTGATGCAAAACATTTTTCTTCAATAATATTAGACAATGAAACCAGCAATTTTAACCATGACCTGTGAAACTTCATCATGTTTCTTAATGGTACAATTAAGTTATGTAAGTGACATTTGTACATAAAATATACCTTTCCCGCTCTGTACCAACTATACTGCAAACTTGGCTGGCACCCCCATCAGTATAAGCCTTTATAGTTGCTGTAGAAATATGACAGTATGTGTAAGTAACTTTTAGTTTACAACAAAGCAAATGGTCTCAAACTGTACATTTTGCCCTAAAATGACTCAACAAATTTTAAATCATGTCAACATTGTCTGTCATCCATCCATGACTATGGCACTTACAACACAGATACCATACTGACCAATGTTAGATAGCGCCATGAACTTGTCAACCATTCCTCCTAATGGCATGTTCACCACAACAAGGGCAACTTTTAATTCCTGATCTGATGGGAAAAGTATTAAAGTCGAATAAATTCCCATCAATTGAAAAAATAGAACTTTTTTAAATTTGCGAAATGTCCAAAAATGTGACATTAATTGTAGATGACCCTGTCACGTGATTGTGTCAGTCAAAAATATAAACATGATTGAAATTGAAATCAAAGTTGGTGAAAGTTATAACGATGTGTTTGAAAACATCACTGACTATGAATTCGTCCTTCTAGACCTTCCAGAAATATGTCGTTAGGTGTTCAGACCTGTTCGGCCATTTTAAGCTTAAATCACGAATTTTCTTGGTCATTTCCCGAAGGAAAAATTGTGGATCCTATCTAAAAAATATACCTTTAGGTAAGACATTGTTCCTTTCCAAGGCTGATAGACACGCCAGAGGAGTCCATTTAGTGACCATGGTCTGAAAGAGAAAATGTTTACTTGTTAATCTGAAAGAATTCGAAGAGATGAAGACCACCGAGTCTCTTGTCACGCTATTTACCCAGATCACAGAGGAGTGGAAGACTTGATCGCAAGTTAGCTTTGAAAGGGTTGTAGATCAGAGACTTAACTACATAATTATCGCCAGAGTCGTCATTTCCTGCCCATCTGAACTCCTCAAGTACCGCTTTCAGTTTGCTGGCATGTCATCGATTCGTGCTCACGAGTCACGAGGCCGAGGCGGACGATAGTGTGACGTAAACGGGAAGCAGCGTGACTTTCATGTTGCCCAATACTAAAGTGACGTCAAACACGCGACATCATACCTCAAATGCGATGGCGGCGTAGTTTGACCAACAGCCTCTTGATTTGAAGCTGGTTTTCCTTGGAGATTCAGCGGTAGGAAAAACAGCTTTATTACGGCGATTCAACACTGGTTTTCCTCCCGAGGAAGATCAACCAGCACCAATCGATGCCTACACCTTCACGGACAGTATACAAGTGGATGGAAAGAAGTACCGGTATCTCGTTCGTTGTTGGGAGGTGGGGCTCTGGGGGGAAGGATACGAACGTCTTCGGCCTCTTTCATACCCAGGCACGGACATTTTTCTGTTATGTTTTGACACAACAAATCGAGCGTCTTTCAACAACATCAAAGACTCCTGGATCGCAGAAATTCGTCACCACATGCCATATACTCCTTTCCTGATAGTTGGCAACAAAATGGACCTCAGAAAGTAAGGAAACAACCATCAGAAAAATTTTTGAATGGGAGGGGGTGGGTGGGGGTGATTGGGGAGTTCACAAGCTGCAAGCATTCTTTCTTTTTTCTTTTTAAACTTTATTTATTACACAGTAAAAATATCAGTACAATGGAAGAAAAAAAGAAATACATCACATGTAGAATTTTCTGTTTACTGTTTACATAATATTTGCCTCACAGGAGTCTGATGCAGAGAACCATTTATTAATGCGTCTCTTGAAGATGTCTAGGGATTTTGTAGTGCGAAGTTCCTCGCGAAAATCATTCCGTAGAGAAGCTCCACTGTACGCTTTAGGAAGTCAGTTCTTGGTTTTGGACAAATTTTCCAGCTCTGGAAATATTTTTACTGTATATCTCACGCCGGATTGTTTTACTCTCTTGACCGCAAAAATATCTTGGCTACTCTGGGGCCCTTAGCCCAAGGGTTGGGTGGGGTTGGGGGGTTCCCATATGAAAAGGACCTGGTGTTTGTTGTGCCTTTAAGGGGTTAAAAACATGGTTTTGGTACCTCTTGGGGTCCTCAGCCTCAAAAGGTCCACAGTGGGAGATTTGTGGAAAATTTCTAAAGCTTATTAAAACAAAGAAAATCACACCTGTGAAGGAAGTTTGGATACCTGGTCTTAATTAGAATAGATTTTGATGATTTTACTTCTCTATTTACTCCTTAGTTTCATTTCAATTAAGAAGATATATCAAACACTCAAGACAGCGTTTCATCGACTATCCAAACACCTCGAATTTAATCAAAATATTCTGTTGCACTTCGTATTTTCAACTCTCTTCTCGGTGTTTGGATATCTCAATGAAACACTGTCTCTCGTGTTTTATATATTACTAAAAAAGATATTCAAGTAAATGCAATAAACAATAGCAAATTTATTCCAGTTTATAATGTTTTCAAGTGTGTCAAAATAATCAACACTGTTTTATTTGTTGAAAAAAAAAACAGGACAAGTACAGAACAAGTTGAAGTGCCAAACACAGTGTCAACACAGGAGGCTTGGGAACTAGCTAAGTTACATAATACATCATACATTGAGAACAGCTCTGTAACAGGAGAACAAGTCAGTGAAGTTATTCACAAGGCCATCCAAAAGGTAGCTTACCTCCAGAAATTGAACTCCAGATGTTGTTGTCGATTTAAATCATTCAAGTGGAACAAGTGTAAAACACATAAATGATCCTTAAACTGAAAATCAACAGTTTATATTTTTCATTCTAAATATTTTTGAGTTTAAAATTCAGATTACTAGCTCTCCAAACTCTTAAGAGTATAACTTGACAATGGGCAATGCTATCTTGTGCACTTTTCCTAGTTTTATAATATCTTGTGACAAGGGGACAGGTTGTCAATACTGCTTGGCACTTATCATTGTTCTCAGTGATAGTGACAAATACTAAGGATACAACAATTATTTAACACTTAATGACTGGTCCCACTGGGCGCACTGTAGCAGGAAAAATGCCAGCTATATAACAATAATAAGGTTAAGCACTAGCCTCCTACATGCAGCTTAACCACTCTTTAGGCCCGTCACACAGTCTATCCCTAACAATTATGTGACAAGCTGACAGTCTACGTAATTATATAGAAAGCTGGTTACATGGAAGATTAGATTGGAAAAGCATTCATATTAGACTAAAAAGCAATCCTCACACATCCAGGTCTTTCCTCACTAGAGAGGTGTCAGAGATAATAATTATAAGAAGTAAAAAATTATTTCACACTTTGTCTTTGTCTGCTGCTGTACATCGATCAAAATAGTGTACCCTGCTATTGGCTGGTTAATTTAAGCTCCAGCTTACGGCAGACTTAAGACTAAATAGATCAGCCAACACACTGTAAACAAAGATTCTTACATACTGAGGTTTATCATAATTTCTTTACGGATTTATTTTTAAGGTCTACCTGCTGTTTGTTTTAAAATCTTTTATATGAACCAACAACTGCTGTCTTGAATACGTGTAGAATCGAACCCACCATAAAAGTTTATGTTTTTCTCAAGCCAAGGACGTCCTGTATTTATTAATAAAATCGTACTTCAGACAGTTCAGACACTATCTTTCTCTCTCTGAGCTTTCTCTGACTAGGAAACCGTACACCGGGAGATTGGGTCCAGCTCGGCCCAATTCCCATCTCATTGTGCGCGGGGGAAATAATGTATGCGAGAAATTAGCGAGCAAAAGTCAAAAATACCTTATCAACTTATCCTAATGTCCAATTTATTTGATGTCCATCATTATTCTCTTCATCACATCTTTGGTGTAATTCTGAAATTGCTTCTTTGTTACTGCCTACTGAAACTTGCATTTAGGACTCGATAAAGCCATAAAAGCAAATTTCCTTTTCAACTAAATTTTTCGTTTCGAATTTAACATGACGAGATCGTGAAAATTATGCGTCTTAGTTTGGCTGAAAATTAATTTCGTCCTTCACAAAAATAATTATAAAAGAATTTGGGCAATCGTTATCCTGAAATGAGGTAGATACTAACAACTGGCTGTCAAATGTCGGACGCTCATGACAAAACGCCTTGAATTTATGGAATACTAGTAACAAATCCTTAGAATATATATCATGGTCGAATATAATTAAAGACACGTTTTCGAAAGGGAGATGTATCTTATATATCTGCGCATTAAAATGTTAAATAATAATTTTGTATTCAGTTTTTTCTCAAAATTCAGATTTTAAATTTGAGCGGATTTACGTTGTGTCCGCACGGAAAGCAAGTCCGAGGGGGAGAGTCTCATATAAAAGAGAAGACTGGACATAAATTTTGAAAAGAACCCCTAAGAGTCTGGGTGCTAAGATCAAGATCCTTTTTTGTGGGCGTGGCACCCCTGAGAGGTACCAATAGGCCACTTTCGATATAGGTGAATCTTTGCTTACGTCATTGTTTACATTTTTCCTCATTAACATACGACTTTGCGCATAGAAGGCATCATGCTAGACACGATTTTATTAGAAAAACCTAAAGAGCTTGTGAAACTTAGTAAGTGGTGAAATTCTTGGCTCTTTGGGTGTAATATTTGAGGAGAAATTGGCTTTCAAAAACATCAAAATGCCTGTGTGGCAAAAGCGCTAATGAGCTCATACATTCTTTTTAAAATTTTGAGCTTTTAAACCCTCGTCGCACAAAAAGTTTTCAATACATCGCGCTCAAATTCCTTGGGACAGTTAATCGTGCTGTGCCCTTTCAATATTCAGTATTAATCTCTTTGTAGCTCCATCAGAAACTGTATCGCTTATGGTAATGAGGCAAATATTGTAAACAAAGATTCTCCTATATCAAAATTCAGCTTGATAGTGAGGCTTAGAGGACACATACAGAAGAAATGAATAAACATGGTCATTCAGTTTCCTTTGTTTGTGTCCTCTAAGCCTCACTGCCAAGCTTAATTTTAATATATCCAAAATGGTCTAGTCTAATTAAACAACACATTATCTCCTGTCATATTTTTTTTTCGGCTCAATCACAGGCGGCCCAAGCTCTCAATGTTATCCTGTTTTTTTTTTTTTCCTTTTTATGCGAACGTTCAGGCTAACGTGACATATGGCATGTACTATTACATAACGACCGAATTTGACCACGCGAAACATGACTC